TTCGTATGGTTTAGACCAAGTAAATTTAATTTATAATTTTGTGGAATGGAATTTACTTATAAGTTAATAAATATGTAATATATTAAAATTATTATTAAAAAATTGTATTTCTAAATAAAAAATTTAATCTGACATTTTTTTTGTATATATTTTAATTAGATATTAATGAAAATAACAGCTATTGCACTGACTACATGCCTCGACTGACGCTGAATTACATTCTCAATATTTGACCCATATATTTCTTATTAGCTCCTACTGTGGTGTTAAATCCTTACACCATTGCTCCTACATAGTTTTTTACTTTTTATAAAGGTATTCAGCCAATTCATATCAATTTTTCCACATTTAACATCAATGAAGTTCTATTATGGTCTTTGACACCAAATATCTGGGCATGCAATAGAAACATTGTTGAATCCAACTTTATATATGAAGAAGGTTTCTTTTGCATGTCCTGTATTGTCCAGGTGTTTGGTGTCAGAGCATAATACAACTTCATTGATGTTAAATGTAGGAAAATTGATATGAATTGGCTAAATACCTTTATAAAAAGTAAAAAAATTGACACTTTATTTTAAATAGATAATATAAAATGTTTATATGACAGAAAATTATCTATAAGTTGGTTTAATTAATACCTGGGACAAAGTTTATTTTTACAGAGAAAAATGAAAACTCAACTTACTAAATTTATTTATTCATTATCAGCATAATGTGCATTATAACATAAGCATATAGGTACTTATAACAATGTGGAAAAATACTGAATTAAATTTTGTCTAACTGCTGCTCCAGTATTATTAGCGGGTTGAAAGATTTCTTCATCTGCATTAGGACCTTCGTCATCATCTACAGTAATTTCTTCCTCAGGTTCCTCGTCCCTCATATCTATGGCAATATTGTTTAATACTGCAGTGGCTAGGTACAATTATTGTTTGGATTGTTTCCATTTTCAATCGCATCCCCAAGCGTAATATGGGAAATCTTCTCTTCCACATTCCATACGACCTCTCCACTACATTTCTTGTAAGAATGTGAGACTCATTGTACAGATTTTCTTCTGGAAGAATTGGATTATGTAATGGTGTCATCAAATATTTTCTTAAGGCATAACCGGAATCTCCCAAAAGTAAACCATCTGTAAATCTTCCCTCTTCAAATTGTGCTTTTAATCTTGAGTTATTGAAAATTGTACTGTCATGACTAGCACCAGGCCAGCGTGCTACTACATTGCAAATATTTCCTTTTGCATTGGAAACTGTTTGCACATTTAAAGAAAAATATCCTTTCCTATTTCTAAAATGCTTAGCATTTGCTCCCCCTATAACATAATGTACGGGACAACTAATCTTATATGTATTGTGAAGTTATAAGAGCAAACTGTAGGCTGTCTTAATTTTTTTAGATTTCTACCTCTACCCTGTAGGTATATATGAAATACACTCACCTGGAGATTGGACATGTGTACAATCGATAGCTCCGATAACATTAGGAAATCTTGAAATATTATAAAACATTTCTTTCTCCACAGCTAATTCTCGATTATTTTCTGGCATTTTTATGTGTGTCGGTGCCAATGAAGCAATCGCCTGTGACATATTTTTAATTACTCGAGAGGCTGTTGACTTGTGTACTCCTCCAAAGTCTGCAGCAACAAGAAGGATGCTACCGCATGCATAAAATCGTAAGCTTATTAGTAATTGAGTTAGTGGAAGTAGAGCATGATTCCTAAAAAATAACAGTGATATTTATTCATATACTTACCATTTATAATTTGTTTAAAGAATTACACATTTCTAAGTGGCTACAAATGCGATACAAAATAAAAAATGGTCCTGAAAAACTTGAAAATTATAAAAGATTTACCATTTTGATTTCATATAACTAATTTTATTAGATACCTACCTTTCTGTTTGACTTATTAACAAATGCTGAATTTGCTCTAACAGTGCACTTACAGAGACTTTGGAAAGTCGGAATCTATTTATAAATTCCTCGTCGTTCCAACACTCCATATGACTAGGTCTTACTCTAAAATTTCTAGGCTGCCTGGGAGCCTCAATAATATTTATGATGTCTTCATCCTCATCACTTAAAATGTCGTCAAATATCTCAAAAATATACACTTCGTTAATATCCATTTTACAATTTACAAAATTTATCTTGGTTTTTATAAGGTTATGTTTATAGTACTTTCACCAACTTTGACTTTCTATTATATTCTATTCTATTCTATTCTATACAATTCGGATCTATGGGCACAGATTACTTTACCAAAATTACTGTGCTATGGGAGCAAAATGTTTTCCATAGTGAGGTTTAACTTGAACGTGTGGTTTAAACGAAGCCTCTGTATCGGTTGAAGTTTAAACTCCACTCATTGGTTTAAACATCACTCTACTAGTTAACTCTGCTTATAAAACGTTCATTTCTTCAAGGTCACAGTTTAAACTCCAATCTCAAGTTTTAACCTACATTATAAAACTGGGCCTTAATATACGAAGTTCTGCATCACACACTGCTTGAACATTTAATGATGTCTGACCTTTTCTATTTATATAATTAGCTTTGTCTTGTTGAGGCGGCATTAATAATATGTGGGTGCAATCGATAGCTCCTACTACATTGGGTATACCATCAATTGCATAAAACCCTTCTTTAATACTAATTACAGAATTAGGTTCATTCAATGGGTATCTAATATTATTCGCTACCTATATTTCTTAGAGATGCACAAAAATTTGACAATACTCGGCTACAAGTTGACTGACTAACATGTGCAATATCTCCTATTAAACTCTGAAAACCACATGATGCTAGGAACCTTAGGCCTATAAGAACTTGTAGCATAACTGATAGGGAATGACTGCGTCTCGTGGGGTGTTCTAACTCGCATAACTCCAAAATCACATTTCTAGGTAAACGATAATATCTACAATAAAATGCATTTTAAAAAGGAGTTTGAATAATTTTTATTTTTTTAAAAATACCTTAATAAATGTTCATCTGGTACTTGTATAGGATCTAATCGGTCTCGAAACAGTCTCTCCCTGTTCATATTTGCTACTGGCTGTTGGTTTTCTCTCGGTTCATCCAACCTTTCATTGAGATTATCATTCTCATTTTCCTCATTATTTAGAACAAGGATAATTCTTGCCGGACCAGGAAACATGCTAAAATAAATAATATTGACATTGAAATTATGAAGGTCGTTTCTGTTTTCGTAATTAAGTGAACACTTAAGTGAACACACTATAAATTAGTGCCTCTACTGTATTGTTAAATATACTTGGTAATAATTAATATTCTACAGTACTTTTTACAGTAAAATTTCAATGCAACTACTTATTCACATAAAAAGTTTGATGAATCACAATTCTAACCTATAAATAAGTATAGTTTTTATGTATAATACTTACATAGCAATGTATTAACTAATCCTTAGCACTGAAAAGTACTGTTTATTATTATAAATAGTCCAAAAATATACAATACGAAACGCAAGGAAATAGAGACCAAAGTTACACGATTTTTAGACAGGCACAATGTAATGGGTACCTTTTTAAAAGAAATGCACTGTATCTTTATCCACTTTTGTTTATTACTAAGGTTACACTTAATACAACTTAATACTAGAGATTGTTGAAAATGTATTTAGTTCGAAGAATATTTTAATAATTGAACGTAGGAATGAATAATTAATGATTGATTTCTGGTCTTGCTGCTCTGAGTATTTATATAAAACTAACTTGGAAACAACCATAGTTGTACAAATGGATTTTAGATAAATGAAAATATAAATGTAATTAACGTATGGACAATTAGTCTCCAAGATACAAGCATCAATAGTAGATAACTAGTTGAATAAATAGTTTATCGATTCTTAATGGCAATAGACAATGAGAATTAGTAATACTTGTTATTGTTGCTTGCTTCCGGAGCATTTCTTGTTTACTTATTTTAGTACACATACTTAACTTAAATCAATATCTAATTACTAAGGAATACATCTTATTATAATATTAACGATATAATACATAGGCGTAACATGGAAGGTAGGGTTGGTACATTACACCTCCCTTCTTAAAGGAAAAAATTAAAAGAATACATTACAAATCTTCTTTTAATTTTGCTATGCGTTCGCTTCTTCGAATGGAGATTGGTCTATCTGAGTCTACATCTGACATTTCTAAATCTGCGCCTTTAATTGGGCAATCTATTTTTAACTTAGTGGTCTCCTTACGATCGGATTGACAAATATTTAAAGTGAGACAATTCGTAATTTTTCTACAGTTACTAGAGCGAGTATTATTCTTACAACATCTTTGTTTCAAATACTTTGCAATTCGATAAAATAGGTATGTAATTAAAATTTTTATTAAGGTACAAAATATATAAAGCATTCACGAAATAAGCATTCTTATGAATATTTGGAAATTGTGAAAGATTAAGATTCTCTGCGTTTTTTTCAATATCATCTAGTTTATGGCTAGCTAGTTTTAAGGCTTCTCTATTTAGGTTATTTAATTGAAGTGGTATTAGATGTAGCTTGGTAAGGTTAATCTTTGATTTAGAATCGTCGCAACAGTCTTCAGGAAGTTGAAATTCAGGAATAATCGATTGGAATGAGCTTTCTTTTGAATTTGTGTCGGAGATTAAAATGGTTGATCCTGTGTAAATTTTGCAATTATCGTTCGTTGTTAAAATTCCGGTATTATTTAATACAATAGTTACTGGCGTTCCAGGGGTACTAACTAATTGTTATGTCGGTAGGATTCGGTAAAACATATATCCAGCTATTTGGTTTAGATAACTTATGCCAAATTTCATATGTAGTATGTATTATCCTAACATCACAATCTAAAGGTAAATGAAGGATAGAGTTTAGTAGTTCGGTTTCACAAATTGGTCTGACGTGAGTGAAATATAATGGTGACGGATTTTCGCACATTAAGGTTTCTACGTTTATCGAATGACAAAATTCTAATTTATCAAATGTGGTATAAACATTTCGATTTTCTGAGAGCGCTAAGTAATTCATGGAGGGTAATATAAGTGTTAATTGATTTAATCTTGTGTGGTAAACAGGCAATGATATTAGTTTATATAAAGTATACTGAACTGTATTCACTAAGGGAATACTGATGACAAAGATAATTTTGTTATCTATGAATTTATATTTTATAGATAGAATTTCGAGGTATTTGTGTGCATTTGCTAAAGTTAGTGATAAAGGATAGTTTGCGGAATTTGGTAAATGAGTAAGGGCCATANGTCAGTGGGTTAATTCTGTCTTTGCCTCGACCCAAGGTTGCATTCTTTGACCAGCTGCTGATATACTGACATTATCATTTAATTTCATCCTCTTTGGAGTTCGCAGGGCAGAGTGCTTTGGTCTCTTTAACTGAGCTGGACAATAACTGCTCCAATTATTTACTGGAATGTAAACAAATATTGTTATGAAATAAAATTATATCAACTGCTTTGTGTATGTTACATCATTCTTTTTTATTAAGCAAAAACTACCTGCTCTGCTTTCTTCAGTATTTACCTCGACAACAGGAAGAGCTTTTGGACTAGCTTCAGCATCTGTATAATAAAAGATGAACATTATTAAAAATAAACAAAGGATTTTAATAGTACAATACATGTTAAGCTTACGAAATAAAACATACCAGATATGTTTGCATGTTCCAGTGTTCTGAGTGGCTGTTGCAATTGTAGTTCAGGGCTCTTCGGTCTTTCTATATGAGCCACAGAATGGTCACTGACATTATT